CCAGACCTCTTTGTTAGTGCTTCTGAAACATTGAGCTAATCTTCATCCTATATTCTTGTGAAATGTCCAATAGCGGTAGAGTTAATAAGTTATTTTAAGTGTCGTTAATATCTATTTGAGACTGTAATGAACTTGAAACATTGATCTTCCTTGCACATAGTAGATTAGAGTTTATGGTAGGGTCCTGCTTGCTATATATTAGTTAGTTTCTTCTTGAATTTAGGATTGCAGCTGGTATTTCGGCAGTTGGAAACTGGTAGCTTTATCTTTGAGCAAGGCTGAGATGTAATGATTCAATACCTTGTACTGAGTGATGAGTCTTAAGTGAAGCAAGGTACCACTTCAGTATATTATATTTTATTTGTGAAATGCAGGCAGGCACTAGTGCTCTGCACTGCACTGCACCAGCCGGCGAGTGTGTATCTGTACACTGTAACCAGCGATCAGGCCCTAATACTGTCCAAGGATCAAATAACCCGCTAGTGTGTATCTGTACACTGTAAAAGGATCAAGCCCTAATACTATACAAGGATCGGGTCCGAGGATCTAGATAGGAGTGGATTGGAGCATGGTATAATTTAAAATGAATAGGGCTGAATCGGATTATCCTCCATAAAAAAGGGTTTAGATCAGGATCGATCTATTGCTAAAGTATTTAGGATTGGGGTGGGGTTAGGAGTGGATGACGATCCATTCCCAGGCGTACTCACTAGGTGTTCCCACCCCTTCTCTTCCTTGCCTGTTGTGCGAAACCGAGCACCCTCTAACTTAAAGCTATTTGGCAATTTTATTGATGCCTACCAACTTGCAATGTTTTGCAAAAATTATCGGGTGCGTTCTCTAGGACGAGCCGACACCCCGCGCAGAAGACCACCCCCGTGGTTCTGGCGCCCATCACGAAGCCCCTTCACCGGCCAAAAGCTCTGCCAGCAAACCCTCAAGCTAGTGCGCTGAGGTTTATTACAATTCTTTCCTCGCACTATTTTTGGTTCAAACCGGTTTCTTCCCTGCCGGTCGTGATTCGATTCTGGGCGATTTTGCAGCCTCGTAGGTCAAGTGCCTGGAGCGGGGAGTCAAGGAGGTCGTCGAGAGCATCCTCCGCCGTGGGAACAAAGGGTTAGTACTTTTCAGTTATTTCCTCTGCTTGTTCGGTGCTTGGTAACTTGTACTACTTGCTTGCCTATTTGTATTTGGCAATGTAAAATCCCATTGACTGATAGAGCAGAGTAAGTTTTGTGTATCTTCTTCTAGGAAATGCATCATGCACCATGAAACATCAAATTGCCCCGCATTATTTATTCTATTCTTTTGCTTTGGCAGTAGGATGTAATATGATTACAATCATGATACTGAATAGGATTAATATTTTGGTGCCAGATCGTGTATTGAATTATACAGAACAGATACCCTGTTAAAATCCTGGTTCCACTACTACTAGCCAGGCCATGGCTGCAGCAGAGGCGTGGGTGCGGCAGGAGAAAGTGAGAAAGTTCGAGGAGTTCGTGGACCAGCGGTTGAAACCCGACCTTGCCAACGCCATCGCACAGCGCGACAAGGTGTTTGAGCAGCAGAAGACCTTGTAAGTCCCACTGAACTTTCTTCTGTCAATCGATTCCAATTTTCCATGTTTCTGGTGGTAGGACATTTGCAGGGCCTATTTGTAGCATATTCGCTTTGTCTATTGCAACTTGTTCTGATGATGGCGCTTTTCTGGATGCCGAGCAGCTTGGATTTGAAGAGGAACATTGAAAATTTGGAGAGGAATGGTGTTACCAGCATGCGGTCCATGGTTAATCTTGGCTCGGAGGTGTACATGCAAGCAGAAGTGTAAGCCTTGCCCCTTCACCAATTCTCAACCAACCAAGAGAATGCTTACAGTGTTTACATTACCCAATCAAATAGATTGAGATTTTCAGTTGAAATATCTGGTATACCCTAAACATGCAAAAGGTCTGGAATATGACTTACTTTTATTTCTGACTGAAAATTAGAAATAGTGTTTACGGTGATTGCCCTGTTCTAAAAATAGGTGTTTGGCTGTTTACACATATGGAAAAGAGACTGTATAGTCTGTTTACACATATGGAAAAGAGACTGTATAACAAGCAGATTAGTTTTGCAATTGAGGTCATTGATTTGTAGGTTATAATACAGGAAGCAAACTTGGAACTTTCTCATCTTGATACGCTCTTAAGCTAGTTTTTACTTTTAACTTCAGTCTTACCTTATTTTCTTTAACAAGCTGTTATTTAGGTTTGTAAAGTTGGAATAGTTGAGGAAACTTAATAAGGAACTAACAATGTCGCTTCTCTTGAAACATGGGTGATAAAGTCTTTCTATATATGCCTAAATTAGATTTCATGAACTGCTGAGATCTGAATGTTCCTTGTTGTGTGATGATTCTGTAGACTGGACACAAGGCATATTTTTGTGGATATTGGTCTAGGTTTTCATGTGGAATTTACTTGGCAAGAAGCTTTACAGTTCATCTCTGTAAGAGAGGCAAGGTTGACTAGGTAAGTAAATTCTGATTTTAGAATTTTTGAGTATGATATATTTCTTTGATGCAGCATCCTGTTCTGTTAAAGTGAGTTTCCAAAAATGATATTGATTATTGATGTCTAGGAAAGATTCTGGTATTTTGTGCTTGCTGGTCAATACGGTGCTTGACACCCAAAAAAAGATAATTACTTGTGAGTTTTCTAGTAGGAAATGCAGATTTTAGCTCCAAAGGGGGAAAAAAAAGCAGATGCAGATAAAAGAAAAAAAAATGTGGATGAAGATATTGCTATATTAGCTCTAAATCCTGGTAAAAAAAATTATGATTTGGGACTTCGGAGCATCTAATCTAATAAATGTACGTATTTAGTTTTGTTGGAGCTTGTCTTCATCAGACATCATCCGTAGAATGTGCAGAATATCATAGAGCTGGTTATAGCATGTTACTTGTGCCTTTGACAAATATGCCCACGTGTTGCTATAAACGAATCCATATGGATACATTGTCACACTATGAGGGTAAATGTGATTTTTTTGTTGTTGTAAAAGTGTGTCCATTATATATCTTTCTATGCCATTTTTAACGATAATAAAAATAGTAAGCAAGATGAGCAAGCCAACTCTCAATTATCAACTTAGCATTACTTTCCAAAAGGTGATTCCAGTAAGTATTTTTGGGTGATTCCAGTAAGTAATTTGGGTGAATAACGGAGGCTTGCATAGTCTTGGAAGCACACTCTCCCAACGGACGAACCACACTAGCGGTTAGGGGGAGTGGGGGACAACTGCATGCCTCCTCCCATCTCTCGTTAATCTTGGAAGCACGTTCACGGGCTAGCGGGCAGAAGCCGTCGTACTGAAGAAAGCTGCCGCCTGATCCAATCCTGTGCCATCATCCATGGCCATCTGCTGGGATCGCGTGAGGGGAGGGAATATGGCAGTCTGCGTCGAGGATGGGAGGAGTCACGTGCGGGACGAGCCAAGATTGATGGGAGATTTGTGATCTGATCTGATTTCTGTTCTGGCTTTGAAGTTGAAGCTGTTCTTTTTTTGTTAGACGTGATCCGTGAGGACAAAATTGGAGTAGGTGGGAACACACAGAGATCAGGATGGAAAAAAAGGTGCAAGCGAGGGATGGATAATTTTTCTTTTTCATGTTTCTTAGTTTCTTCGTTTTATTATGTAGGCGGACAGTTTCCCTTCTGAACTTCGGATTTCTTAGTTTTCTTGCATTCATTTTTTCTTCCAACTGGTTTTTTCCACATGTGGGAGGAGATGAATGATGGACGAAGAAAAAGGAGGAAGAAAATTACTCCTTTTAATGTTAGGTAGAGATTGGTATGGCAACATTATTGGTAAAAGCTACTATGGGGGAATGGTCAGTGCTGGTTTGTACGGTCATTATTGGTATTTGGAGATCAATAGTTTCACATGCTCTGGGGGAATGGTCAGTGCTGGATTTATCAGGATAAAAGAATAGTCATATCAAAACCACTAATTCACTGTGCTACAGTGAAATACAGGTCCACAGTTGAATAGGTACATGTTGTCTATGCTCTTTTAGCCTGGTCTGGGATTTTGTTCTATTGATCTCTAAACCCTCTAGTTTAGACAACTCATCTGTCATAGTATAGTCTAAGCATTGACTGGAGAGGTTTTGTTGGACATCAGTTTTGTTGCAAGGATATAATCACAGATTCGATGGTCTTGTTAGTGCTAATATATCTTGTTACGCGATGGAAGACATCTTTCCGTTGAATTTCAATAGCAAGTTAGCCACTCAATCTAAGCAGATCTTCTGAAGTGATTGTTCATATTTGTGTACCCTGAAGTCTGATTCCAGAAGTATCACATTATACTCTTGAAACACATCAGGCTTCTTAGAGAGAAGCTTCACTGTTTAAGCTTGACTGCTAGCATTATAGTTTTTATCTCTTTGCCTGATCCTGTGATCCTGTGTTTGATTCGTTTATGGTCGAACACTTTCCTTCTGCATTTTTGGGTTCTTTCATGGTTAAATACTCTAATCATGTTATATACTTGTTTAGATGTCCCTGAAGCAGCATTTGTTCAGATGTTAACCTTAGAAATCTTGCACCTTTGCAGGCAAATGGATGAATACACGCATCTCATCGCAAGCATAAAAGCACAAATCAAGTTGGTATGTACAATGTATTATAATTGTCTAGGTGTTCCATTATGTCGTAGATCATACTCCCTTTGTTCCAAATTATAAGACGTTTGGGTCTTTTTAGATATGTTGCTTTTACCATTAGACATAGTGTATGTTTAAGTGCATAACAAAAGCTATGAATCTAGAAAGGCCAAAACATCTTATAATTTGGAATGGAGTAAATGAAAGGTGCTGCATTCTTGCATATGCCCTTATCTGCTTAGCCATTGGCAATTACACACGCAGGTATGTGAAGGTATCCGCGAAGTGCTGCAGCTGCCAGCGGAGAAAGAGTTATCACCTAGGAATACGTGGTAGAATTTGGTTCTCACTGGAGCAGGGGGTTGGTGTGCTGCCGTCGAATGTAGTGCAGTTCTGCAAACATGGTTCCATTTTTACATGACAACAACCTGGCTTCATCTCTGATGAACTCCTGCAGTTGAAACTATTGAGGTGTCGAGAGTTTTAGACCAGACAACGAGGTTCCCCTTCGTACAACAATCTCTTTGACGGCACCACGTACAACTCATACTGATTTCTAAGTTTTCATTGCGTTGGCATATGGCCTCGAGGGGGTTGGTGCTGAAGTGCAGTGTACACCGGCGAAAGCGAAGCATCTTGCTCGCCGATTTGCAGTTTATTTGAGCCTCTTATGCAGGTTCAGGTTGAGCTCACATCACCCGGTAGTACAAGCCTTCCCTGACCCCGACGCGCCTCTCCATGCGCACGTACCCATTCTCGCCCCCACGAGTTCTTGACGATCCAGTACTTGTGGCCGCTGGCGCCGGCGTCGGCGCCGTACCCGACCACAGTGACGGCGTGGTTGATTCCGGCGTCGCAGGGGGCCGACAGCAAGGTGGCGGCGTTGATGGACACGACAACCGGCTGCTGCGCCACAGCGAGCTCCAGCGCGGCCTCGCTGTTGGGCGCAACAGCCGCGCCGCCGCGGACGCTGCCCATGCGGATCCTGCCGCGCCTGCACTGCCCCTGCTTGCTCTCGTAGGGGTACTCCCACGTGGTGGCGAGGCCGCCGTTGCGCGCGACCCACCACATGGTCGTCGCGGGATCGCCGCCGTTGCAGCCGTAGTTGGGCGGGGACGCGCAGTCCACGAGCTCCTGCTCCGAGAGGGAGACGAGACGGCCCGTCCGCAGCTTGTACAGGCTCTCGATCGACGCCACCGCGGCGAACGCCCAGCAAGAGCCTGCAATGCAAGGACATGTCGTCACGAGGATGCTGGATACAAATGCATATATATCATGTTCATGGCACGTGGACAAGGCGTCATCTTTTGCTGACGTACGTACCACAGGTCATTTGGTGCTTGATGGGAGTCACAGCGCCCCTGGCCCTCCAGTCGACGCTGTAGGGGACCTGGCCGAAGGCGTCGCCCGAGTAGCTGCTGTTGCGACTGTTAGACTGATCTCCACCCGGCTAGGTGCAACGACCGAGTCGGATCCTGACTCGCGCCCTGATCGGGGACGCCCAGCCGTACTCCTGGCTGGTGGGCCCCCATCGCGTAGCGCTATAAATAGGAGGTGGGGGCTAGGGGGGGCTTGTGACACGAGGTTCGCTGCCACCCACAGAACCCCACCTAAACCCTAATCCGATCCAGAGGGTAGCGCTGAAGGCAACGGAAAGCTCCACCGGTGTCGCCGCTGGATCGTTGCCCCTGCTCTCGCCGAACACTGCGAGCCCGACGTCTACACCCGCCGGACTCCACCAACACTCCACGCCACCGACGACATGGCTTCCACCTCCGCCAAGCCCGCCGATGATCGGTACCCTTACCCCTCTCTCTCTGGTTTGTGCTCTAGGATGATCTACCTGCTTATTTATCCCGAATTGAAAGAACACACCCACTAGATCTATGCCTAGACGATCTTAAGAGCCAACAGCGACCGCCCTCGTCGCGTGGCGTGGTGGCGTCGAGTTGCCGCGCCATGGCCTCGTCGTCACGGGCAGCGAGCACCTGGCCAGGCGGCATGGTGTACGCGGCCAGGAACTCGTCGCTCGTGAGGTCGGTGAACTGGTTCTCGCCTAGCTGGTACGAGAGCCCGCCGCGCCGGTTCGTGGCCTCGATGTACTCCACGTTCCGGCGGTACACCTCGAACCGGCGCTGGCGCTCCGCGGCGGTCGCGTAGGTCCGGTTGTGCGCGGCGCGCCAGGCGTGGAACCGGTTCGTCATCATGAGCATTTCGCTGGACGCCGCGGCGCTGGCCAACAGGAAGCTGGTGCACAGGAGGGCGAGGGCTAGACAACGTGAGGCGGCACCCATGATGAACACGTACAATACAGTCGATCGATGTGGCCCGATGCTCTAGCTGCTATCTCTGGCCGTGCAAGTTGCTTGCTTGGAGTTCGGAGAGCAGCCAAAGCTCGGGGCGTCGCGTCGATCGTCAGAGACCAGGATCAGGGCGTCGAGGTACGGTACGTGTTCGCTTCACTGCTCCGGCCGGTCGACGAGTAATGCTCGCAGCATCTTCTGGAGCAACGCAAGCGGCATGGTGCCGGTACACGTCCTTCCAGATGATGCAAGTTTTTGCATCTGCTAGCTTTACAGAATTATTACAGTTCACACCGACGACGTACCTCCCGGATGAGAGACCGTCTGTTAATTAGGTTCAGTGGTCCGATTTTAGTTAAGGATAAGATGCACGCCAAGTTCATGGCAGCCACAGTTTTAGTTGTGCTGTTAAGAGTTAGCGCAACCATATAGTAGTGGCAGTGTGGCACTGCATATAGTGATTAGTGAAGCGTGCGTTACGTCGTTGCCTGCACTCTGAACTCTTGGTTAGAGCATGTCCAGCAATAAGCTAATCCCCCTAAACCAGCCTCCTATTTATCTGAGTAGGGGCTCCTATGTTTTTTACGCCTTGGTTTCTGGCTGTCGCTTTTAACACCCTAAATCTCGGCCCATATTATTTTTTCTCTTCTCTTATTTCAACATATTGACAATGCATTTGCATTATTTCATGTAACACCCTAAATTTTTCATGTTTTTGGAGATAGGAGAAAGTGACTAATTTTGCATTTTGTGGGAATTTAAATTTAGGAAATAATATTTTTTTATGAAATTAAAATCAAATATAGGGTTAGAAACTTTTTGATGCATTCATGCTGCTGCACATTTGTTTTTGTAATGACTGACTTTAACTAGAATTTGAATTAAAATCAAAAAGAAAATCATTTGAAAATGAATTTGGAAAATTTTGTTTGGAAAAAAAAATTTCTTTTCTCCTCCTCCCCTTCTTCATTTCGGCCCGTGGCTTTTTTTTTCCCACGGCCCGCTCGCTCTTCCCCCTCTCTCTCTCTTGGGCCAGCCCAGCCGCGCGCCTCGGCCGCTCGGCCCAGCAAGCCGCGTCGGCCCAGCATTCGCCAGCAACTGCTACCGCTCCCTTGGCCCATCTCCGAGCGCAACCGCCGCCCGCGCCACTACCACTGACAGCCCGGCCCCGCCTGCTAGCACCTTCCCCCACCTCCCGCAACCGCCCCGCGCCGGTCATGGCCGCAACCACCCGCGCCCACTCGCGTCTACGTGCTCCTCCGAGCCCCGGCCTCTACAAAAGGAGTCCCTGACCCGTATCCTCCCTCCCCGTTGTCTCCCCGTTCCAATTTCGCGCCCGCCCGTGCACGAGGAGGCCTCAACCGCTGCGCCGAGATCCGCCGACCGCCCCTCCGCGCGGACAGTCGTCCCCGAGTCTCCCTCGTCCTCTCTTTTCCCTGCGGTGAGCTTCTCCGTGCTCCCCTCCTTTCTCCGGTGCTTTCAATTTTGTAATTCATGGCCGTTTGGGCTCGTTTCACGTGCGCCCAAGAAGCTTTCGCCGCCGGCCATGGCGACCTCCGCCTCAGCCGCGTTCTCCGGCCGTTGTGATGGCCTGGGCGAGTTCCCCTTCTCCCCAGCTTTCTCCCGGTGCCTCCGGATTTTCGAACCGTGGCCCCTAGCCCCCTAACCGCGCGCTCCGGCGAGTCCACCGCCGCCGGCCATGGTGTTTGCCGCCGGAAACACTGTTTCGGCCGGCCATATCTTCTTCTCTCTCCCCGGATCGATTTCTAGCCGTTCATTTCAAATCCGACGGCTCACGTTAGAAGTTACCCCTTCGTGGGTCAATTTGTTAAAGTGCCCCTCCCTTTTCCCGAAATAGAACCCGCCGTCCTTAGCATAGTTCCCCGAATGCGCAATCTCGTTTGGAAAGCGTAAACTTCGCTGTTAAGTCAAAAGTACGCTTTCAGTATTTACAGAAATGCCATTCGAACTGTTTCACTTATAGAATTGTCGTTTTAACTCCGAATTGACCCATTCAAATCGTGTTAGCTTTGTAATTTCATAAGCTACATGTTGGAGCTACTGTTAGTCAAGTTTGGAACTTTTTAATTTCATGATTAGAATTAATTAAATATAGGGCTTTTGGAAAACCCGTTTTAATCATAACTTTCGCATTGTAGCTCCGTTTTTCGTGAACTTCGCGTTGACGTGATCGTAGCGAAACGTAGATTAGTTTTACAAACATTTTATCTTGTTTTCAATACTGTTGGTGTACTGTTCTAATGATAGGAATGTTTGCTTTGTATGAATGCTTTTGGAATGTTGTATGTTGCCGTGTTGGTCGCGTTCAGACGGTGAGGAAAACGTTGGAGACCAAGAACTCTTCGACGACCAGCAGGACCAGCACGAATTTGTGAACCAAGGCAAGTATAACATGGGCCTTCCTTGATGTCCTATTTCACTTTAATCAATTACTCATGTGCATGTGTCTAATTTTGATAACCCTAAGGACATTCTAGACAATTGATGACTTGTTCCCTTGACTCCTATTGGGTAATTGCATATGGGTAGATTGCTAGTGCTCTAACTGAACATGATCTACATGATGATGAATGAATCTATGGAACTAAAAGTATAACTTGATTTATAACAACTGTTCCATAGGCTTAAAGTGCAAATGACCTTTGTTCATGTTGCTCCTGCCCTCCATAAGGACTTATCTGTCGCAAAGCTGGGGACAAAGGCAACCGGGAGAGTCATATGGCTCGACTTTAGCTCAGTAATAGGACATTTTCTAGCTAGTTAGAGGTTACCTTTTTGGCGCAAATGGGGCTGCCAAGTTGGGTATAGGGCTGCCTCTGTTCCTATGTGTATAGCCGCCGATGGATATGTGCCATAGGAAAGGGGGGTTCCTACATCTGCCTGCCAAGGAAACCTAGCGGCCCTAACTTGTTAGGGAAACCTATGAAATGGCTTCATAGTGTACCCTGCCCGCTCACCTTGGAAGTGACATGGGAGTAATTAACTTGGGCATATGGGGATCACGACTCGCGGTGAATGTGCACCACCTCTGCAGAGGGTAACAAACTGTTATAACAGCCGTGCTCACGGTCACGAGCGGCCCGGAAAACTCACAGAATAAATGGCTACTTATAATGTTGTTTATACGAGATGATTATGATGATGTCACATGACTCAATTGGATCGGATATATGATCACGTGGGTTTAAAAAGGGAGCTTAAGCATAACTTAATAATAGATGAGGATAAAATCTTGAATCTACTAAAAGTGCTAAGCTGCAGAAACCAGTGTCATCCTTTTGAGCCTCATGAACCCCATGTTATCTTGTTAAGTACGGGACGATTTACGCTTGTTTAATTTTCAATATTTGGATAAAAATCCCGGATGGGTAACAGATGACAACGGATATAAGGAGTTTCTCGAGGATTATTAGGCTTGTGGTCAACGGTCGACCGTCCCCCGTGATGGAGTTCCACGAGAGTTATCCTTTTATCTTCCATTTGTGTTATGTAAGTCAATGTGATGCTATTATTCGTTATGTAAGATACACCGTGATGATACTTTTTATAATTTGTCAACTTATGTGTGTGACTGATCCCTGGGCACACATGAGTTTAGTGCATTCAATTTTATCCTTAAAATTGGGTGTGACATTTCACCTAATAATAATTCAACGGCCGTGATTTCTTCTAGCTATTACTTCCTATGGAGTAATATAGTCAGAGTACCGTAGCAAAGCTTTGCAAAGTTTCTTTTTCGTGTCTGGAATCAACTACAAAGGTCACAAGACTCATGGATATGCGAAGTCAAGTTCGCTCTTCCGCAAAGAAATTCAGTCGACGAATGGAGTCGATCAACGAGCATGGAGCATGCAGGATTTTATTTAGGTATTTCTCATTAGAGGGATACAAGGAACACCACGCACGGTAGTATGCATATAGCTAGGAGTACAACGGCAAGTCATGATATGTCGATCATCAGACCTCGCTGTTCTCATATGTGGCACTAGTAGTAGCAGTTGCAGTAGGTTGATACTTAACGAGCGCAACGATCCTCGCAGCATCGTTGTTATTGTTGATGCCAAGCTTCTGCATGTCGGGGATCACAGCGTTCGGGTTTTTAGCCCAGTCGAAGGCAGCTTTCGAGATCCTGTCCCATTTCTGCACCTGCTTCCCCTGCATCTCGCTTATGGTCACCCCTGGCTGGTTGTTGAACCCCGCTTCTACCGTGCGGGACACCGGACACAGTGATGAACCGCACCCCCTCGCACACCATGACCACCAGCTTCGCCAGTTTGCTCTTCGTGTCAGCTTGCGGGTCAGCCGCCGCTGCCAGATCAGCATCCTGCAGCATCAGCAGCTCCTCCTCCTCCTCTAATGTCATCGTCGTCTTCTTCGACAGGTCGTTGACGGCTCTGGTCATTTCGGCACGGCCCAAGGTGACGGTCTCCAGACCCTTATTGCCGATGAGGTCCTGGTACCGGCCGCCAAAGCCGAGCCACCTCGGGCTGTCGTCGAGGAGGTGGGTGTCGCCGTTCTTGCCGAACTCCCACCACACACCGGCCGGGGTCCTGAAGCCGACGAGGTAGAGGTTGTCCATGCGTATGGCGAGCGTGATGGAGCTGGTCTTGGTTTTGAGCTCGATGTGGAACCAGAGCTCGGGGACCTTCTTCTCCGGCGGCAGCACAGGCTGGAGGATGCCTTTATGGTCGGTGCAGTATTTGATTACTTCTTTCCGGGCCCAGGCAATGAAGGAGCCGTAAGTGTAGTTCACGTCATCCACGTTGAAGGTTTCAGTGAACCTTGGTACTATTCTTTTCTTTGCTTGCGTAATAAGATCACTAAACTCTGTGTTTGGCTCGGCCATCGTCTTCTCTTTTGTATCAACAGCTAAAAGGATGGATGGGTTGTTGGCATTGTGAATTGGGATGATGTACTTGCAGATATATATAGTGGGAGAGTTGGGGCATGTAGCCATGTAGGTACTCTAT